CTGTCGAGGGGTACATCCTGAAATAGCGTTGCCAGAGACGCAACAGCATTCCTCAGCAGCTCTGTCTAACACACAGGCTGTCGAATATCCTTTCCTACCTTCCTTGCTGTAGCCTATTCCTACATTACTCTTTTTAAATACATTCTCCGCACGTTCATGCACTCTTCACCCTTCACTCCCAGCAGCTTCATCCAGACCTGTCAAGATTGTCCTCGTCTGCCTTGGTTGCATAATCAAGCCCGGCATTCAGGATGTTTCAGTTCTATCAGAAAGATGTTTTCCATTAGCTTAAGCACCTGAAATGAGAGTTTTTGCTGAGTTTATGTCCACAGTAGGCTTGTCTTCTTAAACTGACAAACAAAATTCACGCATGAACTTAATCTGTACAATGAGCTTTTGTTTAAAATCTGAAAGACAGCTCATTTAGTGTGTTTTTGCTTTGTAGAGACTAACAACCATCAGCATGAGCCAGTCAGTGGTCCGGTTGACCTGCTACCTGTCTCATGGAGCTCAGACTGAGTGGGACCATTGTTTTTTGGCACCATCTGTCTGTGCTTTTGACATAATGTCAAGTGTGGGACAGGTTAGGCTGTCTGGAGTCCAAGATGTGGAAATTTAAGCAAACTCTTGAGGTGCCGTATGTGTTTTGACCAACAATTTCTGTCAACTGCCTCCTGCTTTTACAGAAAATTATGCAGTGCAGACTTTAATGGCTAAAGTAGCAAGTCAAGGTTATGAAAGAAGACAGCGCTGTCAAGTTTTCCATATGTGCAGCACTGTATCCTTTTAGCATAGACTATGCCAGCATATGGATTTGGCACATTTTTGTGTCTACTCTATTTCAGATACTTTCAAAGCACAGAGTAGCTACTGCTAACATGATTTAGATAATGGTGTTTTGATTTGTCAAGGAATTCTGCTGTGTTTAATCTCAGTTTATACAGTCTGGCGACTTCTTTCCTAATTGCCTCATGATGTTTTGGGGAAAACAGTAGATGAATACTTTAGGCTACGTTTACATGACAACAATGTAGCCAAAAACTGAAAAAAAATATTTCCTTGCATTTTCTCTGAGAAAAATGGTCCATTTGTTAAAGCATTTACTAACATTAGGAAAGTATGAATAAGCTTGTAAAGCGCTAATTAATAATAGTTCAGCATTGACATTCAACATGCATTGTTAAAATCTAAAATTGTGCTTGCTAACATTAGCTAATGCACTTTCAGTCAACATGAACTAACGTTATTGAACTTAACATTGTCTAACGTTAACAAAGATGAATAAATACTGTTAACTGTATTACTAATAATTTGTTCATGTTAGTAAATACATTAACTAATGGACCATTATCTTAAAGTGTTACTTTTCTCTTGTTCCCTTGTATTTTCACATTTACACAACCACACTTTAAAAACTATTCTGTAAAAATGATAAAAAAAAACAGTTTTGAGTTTTGGTGCTGTCACCTTGTTAATAAACAGTACCTGTAGGGAAGTGACGACTGTGCGTTGTGTAGAATGTACAATTTATTGTGTATACATTGCAAGATGTCTCATTGTGTCTCCAATGTTGGTTGTAATGTGAGGTAAATCCACACTTTACTGATGAAGTTTTAGCAAACACTTGAGAAACAAAAGCACTACTTTGTATTCCACCACACAGTGGGGTTAGCACTGTCATTTCACAGCAAGAAAGTTGCTGGTTCGAGTTCCAGGCTGGGCCAGTTGGCGTTTCTGTGTGGAGTTTGCATGTTCTCCCTGTGTTTGCATGGGTTTTCTCTGGGTGCTCCGGTTTCCCCTCCAGTCAAAAGACATGCGGTTTAGGTGAATTGTGGTTAATAAAAGGTCAACTTTAAAGGTAATTAAAGTTAAATAAAGGTAAACATTGTGTTTTCCAGTACTGGGTTGCAGCTGGAAAGGCATCCACTGCGTAAAACATATGCTGAAATTGTTGGCAGATCATACTTCTGTGGCTACTCCTGATGAATAAGGGACAAAGCCAAAGGAAAATGAATTACTAAATATTACTAAATGTATTTCACCATTGTTGTCTGTTTGTTTGTGCATTCCTTTAATCTACACCTCCTTTAAACATGCACTATGTAAGCACATGACATCATTGTTTTCAAAGATTCTCATCTTTTGGGTGTTTACAGAGACACGACAACTGACTGTGTTTTCAAAAACATGATTTATGCCTTTTCAGTCACAAAATCTCTTTTGTCATGTAAACAAACAGGTGAAATTGTAAATAGTATTCCCATTTTTGGCTGAAAATGATGTAATGTTAACAACCCCTTAATGGGCAATTTATTTCCATTCATTTTTTTAGGATCCAGGAATAACAGTTCTTTCAAACAATTGCAGTCTGAGCACTACCTATAAAGCCCAAAGTATATTTTCACCATCCGCAATGGTCCTTGTGATGCAATTTCCTCTATCAGGAGTGTTCGTGGATGTTCACACACACCATCCATGTGCAGCCCAATTATTCTGTCCACACAGATGGTAGGCACACACAGTTGTGTGGGGAATGCTGAGGTAGTCCATTACTACTCCACGTGCTGAGTACTGCACTTTGTGGTTGAGTATACTATGAAACAGAGGCATATTTCTACAGGGGACAAGGAGGACACAACATATTTTTAAATTAATATGTTATGATTTTAAAAGAATGTGACCAAGCAGGACACTGTGTGTCTGTGTGTGTTTATGCGCATGTCCAAGTCCAGGAACTTTGCATGCATGCTTTAAAGAAAGGGAGTCCAAACTCTGTCCTGGAGGGCCAGTGTCCTGCATATTTTAGGTTCAACCCCAAGTAAACGCATCTTAACCGGCTAATCAAGCTCTTTCTAGATATACAAAAATTTGCAGGCAGGTGTGTTGAAGGAAGTTGGAGCTAAACAATGCAGGACACCGGCCCTTCTAAACTGAGTTTGAGCACCCCTGCTCTAAAGCATAGCTCTCAAACTCGATTCCTGGAGGACCGCAGCTCTGCATATTTTTGCTCCAACCCCAATCAAACACAGCTGATCCAACTAATCAAGGTGTTCAAAACTACTAGTAACGAATATGCAGGTGTGAGTTAGAGGTGGTTGGAGCTAAACTATGCAGAGCTGTGGCCCTCCAGGAATTAAGTTAGAGACCATTGCTCTAAAAAATAGCTCTCCAAACATCATAATGAGAAGGCATTACATTTGTGGAACAATCAAGCATGAAATGCCGAGCAGAAATAGATGATAAAACATGGCTAAAAAAGGGAGATGTGAGTTCAGTGTAGAGATCTACACAGGACTAAATTTTGAATCCAGATTTTAGCCCGAACCCGACCACTCCCGCTTATATTCAGCATTTGTTGTTCCGCTGCTCGACCCGCCCCATTTTCTACCCGCCACGCAAGTTCCCGCTAACGAGCCGGGGGAGAACAAAACCAAAAACCACCCAGCTATACAGAGTCCAGACAGCCTATAACAAGCTGTTCAGCCTATAACAAGCGCTTTATTCGGAAATTTATTCCTGCACCGCAGAAACCTGGTCAGGTCTCGCGGTACAGCGCTGGAATGCAGACCGCTAGTTCAGTGTATTAGATCAGGTCAGGAAAATCATATCTTCTGTCTGACAGAATCTGTCTACACCTGCTGATGCTAGTCTAACATTTAGGAATCAGTGCTGCACAGAATATTGGCACAAGAAATGTAATTGTTTTTCATTAACTTATCATGTTTATGCATGAAAGACATCTATTAAAGTAATGATCAACAATTTTATAATATTTGCCTACATATTAACTTTCCTGCTGTCTTCTGCAGTTATTGCAAAATATTGGTTCACCACTGTTCATTAAGTTTTTTTCTTTGACATTTTCAGGTTAGTTTGAAGTACAGGTTTGTTTAGTCAACTTAATTATGTTTTGGATTTTTAATTCTCAAATCAAAGTTACACCATTGCTTTGAATATTATTGGCTTACACAATAATAAAATTGTTAAATCACTAAAACTTTAACTTGACAACAAATATGATTGGTTATTTTGTTTGGATGCACCAATATGGACATTTTGGCTGATACCAAAGACTAATAACACTTTATATACTGTATAAAAGCTAATAAAAAGCTAAACTTGCAAAATACAAGAGAACTGCGAGTTTACCTCCCCACCCCTCAACTGTTCCTTCAAAACTCAGTTGGTTTATACTTGTCCATAGAAATGGTCCAAAATCGGTCCAGTAATGTTTTATTTTTCAGATGGTCACTGATTTGCACTTCCAGTTGATGCTTACCATTGACTTCCATAGTATGTTCCCCATACTATGGAAGTCAGTGGTGAGTTTGAGCTGTTCGAATACTATAATTTTTTTTTTACAATAATACGAATGAAACATTTGTGAACCAAACTACTTCTTCAAAGCTCAATTGGTTTATACTTGTCTATAGAAATGGTCCAGAATCGGTCTAGTAACATTTTATTGTTCAGATGGTCATAACTGATGTCCACCACATTCCCCCATAAATTCATATACAGATGTTAATTTTTTCCCATACTGCCAACATTTTTTTTTTTTTAGCAGTTTATGAAGTGTCTCTTATTGTACTCAGTCAAAACAATCTTGGCTGTTTTTTATTTCTTTTTGGGGCAATAACAACAGCACAATGATATATCACTAAGATGTTTCATGCATCACTTCTCACTTGCCAAATTGATCCAGAAGGATGTCCTATTTTGGTAAATTGCATCAACAAGTTCTTCAACTTCAAAGGAAAGAGACTGAAGGTCCAAATAACTCTAGATTACACCAGGTATTCTCAACTCAAAGATTGGTTAACAATGTTGTTTTGAATTCTCAGCCACTAAAGTCACTTTCAACTTGAATGTGGTTCATTTTCAGTTGACACAGACCTGTCCCACAAGTCACAGTGTATAAAGCTCTTTTATGTGCCATCATGTATGAACATGAATAAACAGACCCATAAATTTACTTGAAATATGTGTCTACTCAACAGACCCGAAGGCTGACAAAAGTGGAACGGCAGCGTTTTAGTGAAGAGGTGGAGATGCTAAAGTGCCTGCAGCATCCAAACATCGTCCGATTCTACGACTCCTGGAAGTCCACCATGAAAGGGCACAAGTGCATTATCCTGGTGACGGAGCTCATGACGTCAGGGACGCTAAAGACGTAAGTTCTGTTGGTGCAAATTTGCTGCAAAAGTGTTTGCAGATGGTGTGGCTGTTAGAGGTGCCAGTACACGACAGGAAAACATGCCTCTCGTAAGTGCATAGCTGCTTCTTCTAACACACTGATGTTCAACTTATTTTTTTTTTATTTTTTCCCCTCAAATCAGCAACTGCACTTTGGCATTTTTATTAAGAGCGGACAAGCTGACAACTGCAGAATAATTGGAGGCATTTGGAGAAGTGTCTTGCTCAGTAAATGGAAGATTATTTTGCCTCACTCCCACGCACAACTTCTGAACCATAGTTTAAATTTATATCACTGTTCGCATATTTTATGAAACAAATCAGACAGCACTGCTCATTAATGGGTCCCAAATGGCATTACCCTTTTTTGACACTTTTTGTTGCACAGATTGGGGCAAGTTACGCTGCAGATGCTTTTAAATGAAAGAAAGGAAAAAGAAATAGAAGTTCACTGCTATGTTCCAATCTTAATGCTTTTGTTCTAAATGCCAGCTGCCTATATAGTCCACCAAAACACCGATCTGCATTGAACTGAACTGAACTGAACTTACGATTGATTTCAGTAGAGTGTGGCATTAGCATGTTGCTAAGCTAATATTCAAATAATACTCTGCAAATTCATTCTGGAATTGCCTTCTTTGCAAAGCATATGTGAAGCTGCCTTTACATTTACATAAGAATAGCTTAAAACATTAGTATTTCCCTTGATTTGTAAAACTTTTCACATTTACACAACATTTTCAACATGATCTAGCCTAGTGATTAGTGCGTTGACACATACTGTAGCACTGAGGCGATCGTGGCAACCTGAGTTCAATTGCCGGCTCGGGATCCTTTGTTGATCCACCCCCCATCTCTTCTCCCCACACTTTCCTGTCTGTACATCTTCACCATCCTATCAATAAAGGTAAAAAAAAATCCTAAAAAAAAAAAAAAAAAAAACCTTTTTGTGAAAATGCCCAAAAGTGTTGTATTACATATACCAGTATGCCAGTATTTGTAGCTGTCACTTTGTTTGTAATCAGTATCTATAGGGAAGTGATGACATGTCTATGGTCGCACAGAACTAGTGCGCATGTAGAATTTGATGTGTTTAGCCCAGTGGTGGGCAATCTCGGTCCATGGAGGGCCGGGGTCCTGCACAGTTTAGCTCCAACCCTATTCAAACAGACCTCCCTATAGAGTTCAAGTGATCTTGAAGACACTGATTAGTTTGTTCAGGTGTGTTTGACTAGTGTTGGAACAAAACTCTGCAGGGACACCGGCTCTCGAGGATCAAGTTTGCCCATCCCTGGTTTAGCCTATATGATGCTTCTCCGCTGTTGGTTGTACACATTGCAACCAAGTTGAAACAACAACACAACCAGGTCTGTTTATTCTGCTTGGCTTTAATCGACACATGTCTAACATGTACCAAGCATGGGCATGACATCACTGTTTTCAAATTTTGTGGCTAAAAACTTTGTTGTGCCCCTTAGATTTTCACAAGACTATGCCTATTAGAACGAAATGACACTAAAATTAAACTTCTAGGGTCTCTTGAAATGCTGCTTCTGTAGGTGGTCTTCTAGATTTTGGAACAGAGCTATTGTTGTTTGTAATTGTTTTAAAGGGAATCTTGTTTGCTGTTTCCTTGTAGGTATCTGAAAAGGTTCAAAGAAATGAAGCTGAAGCTTCTCCAGCGATGGAGTAATCAGATCTTGAAAGGCCTTCACTTCCTGCACACCCGAACACCTCCCATAATTCACAGAGACCTTAAATGTGACAACATCTTCATCACTGGCCCAACTGGATCTGTTAAGATTGGAGATTTGGGCCTAGCCACCCTCAAGAGTGCCTCTTTTGCCAAAAGTGTCATCGGTGAGCTATAAACAAAATGCACAGTCTCAGTTTAGTACTTCATTTTAATCATTACAGTGTTTTCCTAGTCCATTCAGAACACCATTTCTTTGACCTTCTCAAGAGTGTAACAGTGAACAGTACAGTAAACAGACCTGGAGCCACCTCTACTATGGGCTTATCTTGTTTGTTTACTTGGTCTAGCTGTATTTATGGCCCAACAAGTGCTTGACACAGATTCTTCTCCTCGCCTACTTGCGCTACTGCATATATCACGTTAGCTCATTAGCTTAACATTGGTTTGACACGGTTTACAATCTGATCTGTTCACGCTCAGATTAGAAGTTCAATGGCATGAATAAATAAAGAATGTGTGACCTAGTTCATCAAGCCTAAACAATAGCTCAAGTTCCCAGACCTGAGGTGTCAAGGTTTGCTTGTTCAGGATCTTAAATGTTTGTGGACATCTTCCACTTTAAAATTAGGTCAGATCTCAAACATTTGGTGGCTCTGGGATCATTGCTGTGCTATTTTACTCCATGTTCTTTGTTGCTTTGATTAAAACTCACCTTTCAAATGACTCCTTACTTATTGGTATTATTTTTTGCTCATGCACAGGAACTCCCGAGTTCATGGCTCCAGAGATGTATGAGGAAAAATATGACGAGGCTGTGGACGTTTATGCCTTTGGCATGTGCATCCTAGAGATGACCACATCAGAATACCCATACTCTGAGTGCCAAAACGCTGCACAGATCTACCGCAAAGTCACCAGTGTAAGTCAACCCTTTGCATAGTTATATATAAGGTGTATAAAAAATGTAGCATAACATATATGAATACAAGCACTATACAATATATTCTGGAAAAGCTTGGAAGGTTGGAAAAATAATATGGAAGCCAATGGCTGTTTTTTTCCCAACATTCTTCCAAATATCTTGTATTATGTTTAAGAGGAAAACAAAATTCACAGATTGAAACATGTGGAGGGTGAATAAATGGTGTTTCATGTTTGGTCTCTTTAAATTTGATGTCATAGCCTTGGGCTGCATTTATTATATTATTTACCATGAAAGCAGACTGCACTGTCTTTTCATTATAAAGTTAATTGTTAATTTTTATTATTATTTTTTAAAATTTATTTATCAGGATCCCCATTATTCTTCCAGGGGTCCATTGAACACCAGACAAAATTACAATAATCCATAACAACAAAGACTAAAAAAAAAACATAAAAACCCAAAATTTTTACATAACATTATTATCAACAATCCATTTAATATTATGCCATTAAATAGTTCTTATAGTTTCAAATAGTTCCACTTTCAAACACACATACTGAAGCTTGTGTAATTAGCTTTGTGAAACTCTACATTGTTTCTCAGCTCTCCATTGCGCACTTCAATGGCTATCTTCCCTCAAATCACCTCTAAAGCTTTACAAGTTTGCTTATGGTTGTGTGCAGCCTTCATGAGGCTCTTGATGACATTTCATTGCAACGAGGGGACAATTAATGCATCTCTCTTTAGCTGTATCTCCACCAAGATGGAGCTTTTTTTGTATGGCACCAGATCTTTACTTAATTTCTGGTTAATCCTGGAATTCAAGTTGATCTCATTGCTTCCAATATATCATTTCATATCGTGCAATGGTAACCACAATCTTGGGTGAGCATGGAGTTGCACAGTTCTTCAATATCTTCCATAAGGCAAGACTTTCTCTATAGCAATGATTCATTAAAAGGCAAGTAAAGGGGAATAATATACACACCACAAACCACACAGTTAAACAGATCTAGAACAACACTAGCAGCATTGTTGAATACAGAAGCCCTAAAGGAGCATTTGTTATTTTGGTGGGAAAATTGCCTGATTTAATTTTTCTTTTTCTGCCTGGAACCTCAAGTATCATTTCGGTCCCATTTATTAAGTTTTTAATGGCCAACACATGTTGAAGAAACCATTTTTAATTTATCAAACTTCATATTGATGTAATCTGCAGGCTCCCTATCTGCTTCTGTAATAGTGGATTTAGGCTATGTTTACACATCAACAATCAGTATATTTTTTATACAAGTGGCATCATTGCCAAAACTAACAATCACTGTTCTCATAAATTTTCAAATGAAACTACAATTGCTATATGTCATTTGTAATGAGGTGACATAGTGGCTCAGTGGCTAGCACTGTAGCCTCACAGCAAGAAGGTGACTGGTTTAAATCCCGGCTGGACCAGTTGGCATTGCTGACATTTGGAGTTTGCATGTTCTCCCCATGTTGGTTTGTGTTTCTGCTGGTTGCTCTGGTTCACCCCACAGTCCAAAGACATGCACTGTAAGTGAATTGGGTACAAACAAAATTGGTCATAGTGTATGAGTGTGTGTGTAAATGCGAGAATGTATTTGTGTTTCCCAGCAATATGTTGCAGCTAGAAGGGCATCCGCTGCATCAAACATGTGCCAGAATAGTTGGCGGTTAATTTCATCGTGGCAACCCCTTAAAATAAGGGTCTAAGTCGAAGGAAAATGAATGAATTTGTAAGTAAACACTACATGGATTTTTGGTCCTGTAGTCCGCCGTTTGTTGGTTGTCAAGCACTTGTGCGTGTCTATAGAGTAAACACATAATAAACGTGCATGACCATGCAAAATTGTGTTTTTGTAGTGTAAATTGACACAATAATGGCATTGTTTAGTAAGTAGTGGTGTGGTGGCGCACTGAGTAGCGCAGTCACCTCAGAGCAAGAAGGTCGCTGGTTCGGCCTCGGCATTTCTATGTGGAGTTTGCATGTTCTCTCAGAGTTCGCGTGGGTTTCCTCCGTTTGCTCTGGTTTCCCCCACAGTCCAAAGACATGTGCTATAGATGAAGTAAATAAGCTAAATTGCCTGTTGTTTACAGTATGTGTGTGAATTCAAGAGTGTGTGGATGTTTCCCAGTGATGGGTTGCAGCTGGAAGGGTATCTGCTGTATAAAACATATGTTGGAATAAACCATCCAATCTCTGTCAAATCTCGGTCAAAGACAACATATGCAAATCTAAAAAAAATCAATGTAAATGTAATTGCAACATTATTGTTTGTAGTTTATACTCTTTTGTTAGCATCATTAGCATTAGCCTTTGTAATTTCGCACCTGTTTTGGCTTCTCTTCATTTCCTGGCTCATTCAAGCACATTATATTATCCTGTACAATATCACAGTTAGGGGGCGTCACGGTTTGCGCAGTGGTTAGCATGATTGCCTCACAGATAGAAGGTCGCTTGTTTAAGCCCTGGCTCGGTCAGTTGACAATTCTGTGGGGATGTGCTTGTTCTCCCCATGTTTGCGTGGGTTTCCTCCGGCTGCTCTGGTTTCCCCCCACAGTCCAAAGACATGCAGGTATAGGTGAATTGAATAAACTAAATTGTCCGCAGTGTATAAGTGTGAATGATTGTGTATGCATGTTTCCCAGTGATAGGTTGCAGCTGGAAGGGCATCCGCTGCGGAAAACATATGCTGGAAAAGTTGGCCACCCCAGATTAATAAAAGGACTAAGCCAAAAAGAAAATGAATGAATGAATATCATGGTTAAGTGTTTATGACAATATATTCATTCAGTCTTCAATCAGCATGCCCTTTGGTTGTGTTTTGTTTGTAGCTTACACTCTTTTTAGCATAGTTAGCATTAGCTGCTTTCACACCTGTTTTGTCTTCTCTTCATTTCCTAGCTCATTCAAGGACATAATATTTTCCTGTACTATATCACAGTTAAGCGTTTATGACATTGCATCCATTCAGTCTTCAGTCAGCATGTCCTTTGGTTGTGTTTTGTTCCTGTTTTCTCCTCGCAGATTAGTGTTATGTCAAGGTCGGGCCGTATCAGATTTAGCTGATAAGGAAAGAGGAAGGAAAGCATAAGTTAAATGGATGCAGTCATTTGTGTGTCTGACATGACAAACCAGACGTCACCTTATGTCCTGCTGTTCCTCATACAGTAGCGGAGGGACTTTGTGGGATGTGTGGCTATTACCTTTGAAGTCGGCGAGCAGAAATTACATGGTTGATCGGAGAGGACATTTCCATTTTCCAGAACACACAGTGATAAGGATAAGGAGAGACAGAGACATGACACCTCGCTACAGTGAAAATTGCATCTCTTTGCAATTTTTTTGCAGCATTTTAAACCGAATTGGTTTTCTTCTGATGCAAACAGATACAACTGTGTAATGTGTGCAGGCCTGGTTAAGAAAAAAGGGAAGAAAACATGAAGCCAGATCAGTATCAAAAATAACAAATTTACTAAATACAATTCATACACAATTCACATTTACAAAATTTAAATTCATAATTCCAATAGACAGTTCTTAAATACACAATTCGTAAGTTCAAAATACAATTCATGAATATGCAAATGCAATTTATAAATTTAAAACACAAATCACAAATATGCAAATATAATTTGTAAATGTAAAACACAATTTATGAATTGAAAACACAATTCGTAAATATGCCATATAAAAATCAAAACAATTAATAAATATGCAAATCCAATCCACAAATTCAAAACAATTCAAAAATGCACAAAACACAATTCGTAAATTCTAAACACAATTAATAAAATGCAAATACAATTCATAAATAAAAACAAAGTTCATAGATATGCAAATATAATTATTAAATACTAAACACAATCCATAAATATGGAAATACAATTCATGAATTCAAAATGCTATTCATAAATATGCAAATCCAATTGGTAAATTCGAAACACAATTCATAAATACAGAGCACAATTCATGAATTGAAAACCCAATTTATATATACACAAATCCAATTCATAAATACACAAAAGACATTTTGTAAATACACAAATCCAATTCATAAATTCAAAACACAATTCATAAACATGCAAATCCAATTCGTAAATTCAAAACACAATTCATAAATACACAAAAACACAATTCATAAATATGCAAATGTAATTCATGAATTCAAAACACAATTCATAAATGCACAAAAACACAATTCATAAATATGCAAATGTAATTCATGAATTCAAAACACAATTCATAAATGCACAAAAACAATTAATACATTCAAAACACAATTCATGAATAAAAAAAAACTAAATTCAGTCATTCATTTTCTTTTCGGCTTAGTCCCTTTATTAATCTGGGATCTCCACAACGGATTGAACCACCAACTCATCCAGCATATGTTTTACGCAGCGGATGCCCTTCCAGCTGCAACCCATTTCTGGGAAAAATCCATACACACTCATTCACACACTTACACAACGGACAATTTAGTCTACCCAATTCACCTATACCGCATGTCTTTGGACTTGTGGGGGAAAACGGAGCACCCGGAGGAAACCCACGCAAATGCGGGGAGAACATGCAAACTCCACACAGAAATGCCAACTGACCCAGCTGTGGCTCGAACCAGCAACCTTCTTTCTGTGAGGTGGTTGCACTACCTACTCCTCTACCGCGTCACCTTCAAAACACAATTCATAAATACGCAAACCAAATTCATAAATTCAAAACACAATTCATGAATGCGCAATTACAAATCATAAATTCAAAACACAATTCATAAATACGCAAATCCAATTTGTAAATTCAAAACACAATGTATAATTTCAAAGCACAGTTTGTAAATTCAAATACATTTATTCATAAATGCATACATCCAATTCCTTTGGGCAAATATTTATGGTTTTTACTTGTGAATTCACATTCTGTTTTCAATTTACAAATTAGATTTGTTCCTTTATGAATTGTGTTTTGAATTCAT